TGCCTGGGAATTCGCTCTTGTGCAACTTCAACCATGCACTGCTGCCATCGCTCAGCTTCTCGATGTTCAACAAATGGCTTACGCATTCCACTGCAAATGGCCAAAAGCATGGTGGTAGTCCGGCTTCTAGTAGGCATGTCGATGTGGTAAGCATCATGAACTGATTGTTTCTTTCGGCGAGTGAATTGTTCTGGGGGTGTCCTGGAAGCGACTGGTCTAGTGGAATCCGGAGTTCCTTGAGTGCTGCTTCAAATTGTGGCGCATCGTCCGAGTAAGCGTTGGTGACCTTTCTCTTACCGATATAGTGCTTCATCGCCTGCACCACTTCGTCACTATTGCTTGCTTTCAAAGGATAGCCCCATATCACACCAGTGAACCGATCTCGAATCACCAATACATCCTTATCCGGCATGATCCCATCTCTCGCCATCTTCTGAGTGTTCATGAGATCGAAAGTGATGAGGTCACCGAATGCCTTCAATTTCCGTTTGAAAGCTCCCTTGCTAGTCTTGTAGTGCTTCATCTTTGCTCTCACACATGACTTGCAGTATGGGTTCTTGTATCGGTGCGTCATCAGGTGCAATATGGATTTCGCCTCGTTCTTCAGCACTCCTGGTTTTGATAGTCTGGCTTCCCCGTCAACCACGTCGACTTCCAGTAGTCCCTCTTCATCTTCACCAATGTCACTCTCCTCTCGTTCAGAATCCGCATCACCTCCGTGTTCGTCGTCTTCGGCTTCTTCAGGTTGACCTTCGTGACCACGATCGATTCTCGGATCTCCTCCGTCATATTCTTCTTCAGGAGAATATCCGTCATCACCGTGTCCCTCTGGTTCTCCTTCGGCGCCTGCAACAGCTGGATTGATATCAGATTCACCATCCCGATCTCTCTGGTTATCTTTCTTCTTTCTCCTTCGTCTCCGTGGTTTCTTGGGCGGAGGTTCCTCTTGTTGTGTCTCCTGACCTGTTGTGGCCTCGTCTTCATGTCCCACACCTGACAGTATGCGATGAAGTATCGTAGCCAAGCCGTCTGATCTTGGTAAACATCTCCCGTCATCATCATTCACCTTGATGTAGGGTATGTTGTCATGCACCGATAGCGGAATCTTGTTCGCGTTCTGGTCGATGAGGTATGGCAATTGATTTGCCGGCCATATGAATGAGTACCCTTGTTCCATGCACCGTTTCCCGATGGAAAAGACTGATGGTGTGCTCTCCAACACGTGTGCCTCGGACATCATGGGTAGTTCGTCCACATTGATGTCCACCATCTCTGATGTACTAGTTACGCCATTCGCTGTCATGAAGCTCACGGATTTGGGTCCTTCCTTGGTGGTAAGGCCCATGGCATTGACTTTCTCTCTTGAGATCAAGTCGTGTCCACATCCCGTGTCCATGATGAAGCGTATCGGTGGTCCATCATACCTCTCCACAGCCATGAACATCGTGTCTCCCGGTATCGTATAGTTGACAGAATCCCTCCTTACTACCTCGCTGGTGTTGAAGTCAGACAGATCGACGTTCACCTCGATTCCTTCATCTTGAGTGATTTGTATCCATGCCTTGGCAATGTGTTCAGCAGAGTATAGCTCCATCATCTTACCTTTGGCATGTGCTACTCGTGCAGCTATATTGTTCACTCTGAGGGCTCTCAACGACGAAATGAGCTCGGTATCCACCTTCTGCACCTCATCCTTCTTCTTCCTGAGAGGACGGGTGTTTAGCTCGTTACCAGGATCGCAGGTAAACGTGGTCACACTCGCCCGGTCGTCGAATCTGACTTTAAAGCGAAGCGCCAGCTTACCTCGTTGTACGTTGGGAAGTGCGGGTCGCGCGTCCTCGCCATCACTCTCGATGTCTCCGCAAAGCATGAAGGCTGGCGCAGCCGGTTTGGGCTTGGCTTTGCCTTTAGCCTCTTGTTTTGTAGCAGGAGCAGCGTGATGCTGGCGTCGACATTTGTCCCCGAACTTGCACGATCCTTTCTGCCAATTCCAACAGACCTGATCCTTTATTGGTTTAGGGCTAGTGCTCCTGCCACTAGGACTCTTGGATCTGTCACCCTTGAGGCTTTCTGGTTTCTTAGCAGAACTTTTGTGCTTCTCTTGGTGACTAAACTTGCATTTATCTCCTCTAGAACATCCATTTTTCCCATGGAAGTGGAAGGCACATCCTATCTTGGACGTATCTGCTGGAGTCGCTGACCTGCCACGATCCCCTTTTGGGCTCTTCGTGGTTGATCTTCCACGATCCTGCTTCTTGTCCTTCTTGTTGTGGTCCTTCGGATTAGCCTGAGGAAGTACTGGAGCGGCGTCCTTCGGTGAATCGGCCTTGGTATTCTTGGGTTTCGCCTTAGGGTCCTTCTTCTCCGCCGCTGGTGTGGCTTTCACAAGGTTCCCAAAGGCCTTTTCCCTTTCTTTCTTGTTTGTGGTCTCGATTGATTTCCGTATCCACTTCGCCATGATCTCTCGTAACTTCTGGCAGGTTTTATCCGGATCCTTATCCAACATGTTGTCGTACACGGACAAATCTAACGCCATAACTTTGGAGTCCTTAATCTTATCCCAAAGCAGGTTGCGGAGTGCTTTGTCAGGAAGCATGTCATCCGCATCCATACCTGATATGATCTCATCCCACTGTCCAAGGAATCTGGATAGTTGATTATCCCCAGGGAACTTTAGATCGAATAAGTGCTTGGATGCATACATCACATCAACGTTGTCGGCACTCCGGAAGCTATCGACGATCAACGCTAACATTTCTCGTCCCTTGACCATTCCAGGGTTGTGCCTCTCGCACGTCTCTGCATCATCTGCCTCACCTTCAGCTGTACGTCATGAGATCTTTCACCTGCTGCGTGGATGATCGTATGCAGGGTGATACCTAGCTTAGCGTCTATGCTAGCGAATCTTGCTTCACCTGATGTCTCGAGCAGAAATGGGTCATATGGTGATCTGAAGGCATCCGAGAGCCACTGGATCCAATCTTCTTGCCTTTCGTCGCCCGATGCCGTCACGACTGCCGCTACAACCTGGGATTTCCAAACCTCCAGGTCGTGTATCTTGGGCCATGCAGGGATGTTGATTTTCTCGTGTTCCTTTCGAGATATCTTGGAGCCACCCGAGCTAGAAGATGAAGCGGCACCATGTTCGGTTGCGGCTGCATTCTCTGCGTTCAAGCGCTCCTCTTCGTACCTCCTCCGGTACTTGTTCCTCTCATCTCTGAGCCGTGCTGCATGCGCTTCGAATTCCATCATGTCCTGCTGGTTCTGCATCATACCTTCGTAGTACTCCATTGCCTCTTTCTCCTCGGACCTTAATGACTTTTCGGTACGTCCAAGTTCCGCTCTAAGCTTGGTCATCATCTCGTTCTCCACATAGGGTTCTGATCCCATGTCTGGTGGTTTCAACTCCAGTGCGACCTTCAATTGTGCTTCACTCGCACTTGATTCGATCAATTCTTCCTGAAGACGTTTCAGCATCCTCTCTTTACGTAGAATGTCCTCTTCCAACATGTTCACCTTGACCTCGGCTTTCTTGAGTTCGGCGTTGGATGGTTGAGACGGTCGACCGGATCCTTGAATCCTCGCCTGTGTCAACTCCTCATTCGCCCTCTTCAATTGCCCCCTGATGGTCATGATGAAATTGTCCTGATTATAGGATCGGTTGTTGAGCTCCTCATTCTCTTCTGATAACCATTTGATCTTGCTTGCATACATTGCTTCCTTCATCTTCATCTCCTCAGCATATTCGTGTTTGTTCCTGGCACTCTGCCTTTGTAGTCCAACTAACTCCTGTCTATACAGATCCCTAATGTTCTCAGCATCTGCGACTGCAGTCATGAGCTCGGTTACGGCTCGATCTCTTTCCGCCGATATAGCCTGGATCTCTTCCGTGCCGATGTTCACAACTTGACTAACCATCTCTGCGCTGTTGCGATCAGCGTACTCCCCTAACTGGGTGAGACGATCCCGCATTGCCACACGATCAGTGTCGATCTGGTATTGTAAATCGTGTGCTGCTGAGAGCAAACAGTCTCTGGATTCCGTAAGTTGGGAGATTCTTCGTTGATTTCCATATCCTTCGACATAACATTCTTCGAGGTGTGCCATCACTACTTCGTGGACTTCGGTCTCGTGTTGTATAATCTGGTTCTGTCTTTGCTCACATTCGACCATCCATGCGTTTTGGTGGTTCAACATATGCACTTCGGCAAGCAGTTGTGCACACTTCGCATTGAGGTCTCCATCGGCCCGTGCTAGTTGTAGGTTGTCAGTGCTTGCCCTTGCTCCATCTCCAGCCTCGCTGTCCGACGGCACTGGCACAGTCGACCCATCCTCCAATGCTAGCACTCTCACAGCTCCGGTGTCAGTCCTCCTCCTTGTCTCCCTAGGGCTACGGCCCGACCTCGGTGTCCCCCCCGGTGGTGTCGATTGCGCTGACGGGGAACGACTTCGTGCTCTACCTGTCGCACCTTCTCTCACCACTGTCAGAGTCTCCGCCTCGATCGTACCTGGACTAGAGTTGTGGGATGCACTCATCCGATCTGCGGCCGCAGCAGCTGCTCCAAAAGATGCAGTGCTGGCGTCGGATTGGTCCATCTTCAGTGACTGAGGGTAACTGACCTATCCGATGCGTGTGCGTTTAGATGGTGTTGTGTAAGGCCGCAGCACGTACCCAGCTCAAAGGAGTCCGGATACGGCTGATAACCTGCGAACGGATGGAAAGTGTGCCCTGGCCCCGTTCTAGCCCTTAGTTCAACATGAAGCACGCGCGCTAAAGCTCCTTTTTACCTGGTTGGGCACTTGAGCCAAAAGTATATGGCATGTACCTGTATAGCAACTATACTGGGACCTCATCCCTATTGACAATTATATATGTATAAGTATATAAGAATGTATATAGTAGATAATCCATAATCCTTGTCCGAGAACAGCAAACCATCCTGATGGCACCCTCTACTTTCTCAAAGGCTTCGGTTGAAAACTGTTAGCAGCTGTGCGGCGCTCCCTTCTCTTCAGATTCGCGCCGCAAAAAACTAAGGAGCCCTTCACGAGCATAAAGATCCAAGTCCTGCAGAACCGGCTCCTTCCGAACAAACTTGCTCCTGTCAGGCGCCTATCCCTCACAACCCAGGATCAACGCGTCCAATCACTTCTTACACCGTGCAGTAGTGATCTGCGAGGTCCGTGGTGATTTCGTCAAGGATGTAGACCTGGAACAACTGAGGAAGACCGCAAACATTGACAAAAACCATCAATTTTCAATGAGCTGCGCAGATTCACGGGCAATGTTTTCTGCCTTGCCCTCAGGCTTTCGAACATCTTTAGTACTCACCGTCAGTGTTTATCCATTTTTGTCAATACAGTTGCTTGCTACTGCAACCTAGTCAAACCATCAACAGTCGATCGATATCAGAGTCTAGGCTCTAAACCCGGCAACGAGCACAAATATCAAAAGCGCCGCTAAGGAGACTGCGCTTATGGCATCTGGCCTTCTTCTCTTCTGCTAGGCACTCGAGCAATTGACACCTGGCTGAACGGAAGGTAGAAAAAAACATAGGTGGAATTGCACTGAGCTGACGGGTGCCTGCGTCTTTGGCCGTCACTGATCGCATTGATATGCCATGATGTGTTGATTTGCCTGATGTGCCACTCGCCAAGTGTATCATGGCATCACATTTCAGTCAAGCGGCTTGGGCATTAATCATATCCATTGGCGGCTTAGGTACATGATGTCAATAAGTTCTTGAACCCGAGGGGTTTCAAGAAGCTTGTCCCCAATCAACTCTGCGACAGTGATATTGAAGAAAAAATCAGTGCGCCACCAATCACCACCTTGACCAGAAAGAGACACGTACATTGCCACACACAGACAAACAAAACCTTTTAGGTGTAATTGCTGAAAGGCATGAGGCCGGGGCAGTACATCCGGTCCGAGTTCAATGTAGAATCATGGAACACGGGTTTGCCCAAGATCTTGCAATCCTGAAGAGAGCGCCACAATATGATGGCGTATGCTTGAAAGCGCCTCTCTGAGGCAACAGCATTTCTTGGGACCATCTTCTTGCCACCCATGATGGAGAGAAGTGTGGATTTGCCAGCTCCATTGCCTGCACTGAATGGCAAGGTTGTGACACACTTATACATGTGCGGAGGCTCCAATGAATTTTTCTTGATGTCTTCCACGTCAGTTCTGAAGGTGAACCTACTTATATACGTTGGAGTGATGCTGGCTTTTACCGAGCCACCAGCCCTGGCACCCAAGCCCAAAGCAAAACTGATAATTGCTTTGAGCATTCACCCTGCGAGGTCTGCACTGCGCTATACGAAGCTCCCCGCTGACTGTGCTTCCTCTTCAGTACAATGCTGTGAGTTGGGCATCTTCAGATTTTGCACTCCGTTTCGATGACACAGGTCTCCCTGAGAGTGTTTGACTGGTTTGTTTGGTTCCTCCATCATCAGAGAGTCCGCTGTAATCAAGAGTGCAATTCAAGCAAGGCCGACTGAAATGTGCAAGAATCTTTAACGAACGTAAAATGGCACTACACAAATGGTGATTTTAACCACATACATCAGGCCTCCATAAGTGTGAAGAACATTTATGTCTGAAACAAGGCCGAATCTGAGAAGTTGGTGATCAACCTTGCCATGAACAGAAGCTGCTTCGGCAAATCAAAGCGCACATAAGGAAGTGTTCCACTCAGGACCATCCGGACGGTTGCCTTCAGGCACAGAGCTCAAGCCAAAAGGACACCACACGAAGCCGTGCTTCTGGCCGGGATTAGCTCGGGAGAAGTATGGACAAATAGCGCATGCTGAATGCTAAAGAGTGCGCGCCTATCAAACAAGAAAAAAACTCTCAGGGCGCTGTGCACTGACCTTGGCTTCATTGGACGCTCTCCAAAAACCCCATTGTCCGCAATCAGCCATCACATTACAACCTGAGAAGGGAGGGGACGAAAGCCAGCTTCCTTAAGCAAACATGAAGGTGGCTAGGGGGGGAATGGGGTTGTCGTCAAACATGGCGAAAGAGAAGGCGGAGAGGCGGAAAGTGTTGCAATGAAGGCCGATATGGGATAGAAGTGGGGCGCATGTGTCGGGAGAAAAGGTTGAGTCGAATAGAACATCACAATCCGGGCGCATAGAGGTTGAGGTTGAGGGACGTTTTTAAGCTGAAAAGGGGCACCGGTAAGTAACCGAAGGGCGCTTGCGTGGTGTTGGTCACCCCGTCTTGTAGCTGAACTTATTAACTCGGCGTGCTGCTAAGAGCGGTGCAGTCTAAAGTTTATTGCCAATATGTGGCAATTCCCGGTAATAGGATAGACTGCCATTCGTGAAACACTCCGACCCTCTTAGAAACCTACAGCCCAGAAGGGTGCACTTTTTCATCCGGGTAACAACCCTTTGGCTCCAAAAACGGGGCACCCCCAAGCAACTCAAAGGTTCCTGACTACATTGTATTTCCTCTCCAGCAATTCCCATATCAACTCTATGTGTCTAACGTGCACAGGGTTTCGCTGCTTTGGTCCTTTAGCGGATGGACACACCCGGTTAGCCTGGTGAACACCCTCAATGTGGGGCGACATCGTTTCTTGCATTCCCTTCGGCTCTTACAGTACCAACCACGCCAAAACAAAGGGCTGAGAGACGCAGCGTCTCGCTTTGAAGCTGGATAAGCCAGAGCCGGTATATACAACGCCTGGAGCAACTCCCGTCCACCGTTGCTGGACATGGGATAGGCGTCGGTCCGTACCAAGATGGACATCTATGACTCTGAAGTCTGCCCCCAACCAACTCTAAAGTTGTTGACTGCATTATATTTTTTGTGTCCTCTACCTGCAATCTTCGGTCTGGTGACGCAAATATTCTCCTGCGTTGTCCGCGCGCTATCTCTATCACAAATACATTCTGGCCTGCACAAACCTGGCCCTGACTGGATGGACACACCTGGTTCGCCTGATGGGTTCCCAGCCTGGAATTTTTCATTTCCTGTCACGTGGTCCCCCTTTCCTGTCCTCTACCCGAACTCCCACACCTCATGGAAAGTCCAAATGGTCCCTTAAGCCCTTCGTGATGCTAATGATGCACTCTTCGGCGTCAATTGCATCACTCACTCGCATCACTTGAGGCCGAGGGTAAGTGACGAAAGCTAGCAGGGGTGCATCCGGACTGGTGGGACATCAAGCGGAGTGAGGCAAATGCTCATGAGGTAAAACGTTGTGAACATGTAAGACACACAAACAGCAATGACACAGCCAACCTTCGAATTGAAGTCCCCGACAATTAAGGAAGCGTGGCTGGACTTTGCCACACTGTTCGATGCATCCGATGTGTTCACGAACCTGTGAGCTTGTTGAATCTGTTGCACCGTATCCCAAAACCTCCACGGAGGAGTTGAACCAGTGTGGATGCCATAAGAGGTGCCCAAGAGGTGTCCCAGAGGCAAAACAAAGCTGCTTGCATGATTTGTTTGGTTTCTTCTATCGATGTCGATGTCATGAACATGTGAGCTTGTTGAATCTGTTGCACCGTATCCCGGAGGAGTTAAGCCAAAGTGGATGCCATAAGAGATGCCCGAGAGGTGTCCCAGAGGCGTCCGAGGGGGGAGTTGAACCCACGGGGGGGGGGGCCCTACATATGAAGTTTTCACGTGATGCGGCGATCCCGAGGATTCCAGCCCCTCACTTGCTAAAGCAAGGACAACTCCAGCTAGCTGGTGCTAGCTTTCGTGATTAAACCCCAAAAACCATACATTTTAACTACTTTTCTGAGACGGCTCTTTTTTGAGCTCTCCCCCCACCAACCTCTGGGCTCACCCTAGAGCAGGGCCGTCTGTGCAACCACCGCCCCCCACACCTATACTCACTTCTTTCGCCCATCGACACCTCCAGCCTAGCCAAAGACCCACAGTATCATAGCATGTCGCATGGATTGATCCCAATAGCCATCCATGTTTTCGGCCTGATTCTCTAAAGACGCATTTGCTTTGAGTATGTAATCATTGGCTTCGGACAAACGGGTCACGCCACATCTGCGGGAGTGCTGATTCTCACGGTAAAAGGGAGAATTTATCACCTCGAACTGGTCAGTTTTTGTCTTGGATGTTTTGAGCGTGCCGCAACCGGCCCAAAAAAAAAGGAAACTCTGCTTAACAAAGGCTGGTTTGGCAAACCGACACGGAATGAATTCGGCAGTGAGTTGGCACAACAGCCCCAGCCATGCATGGTGCCAATATTGAGAACCATATGTGTTCCTGGACGCTAATCTCTCTCGCCATCACCCTCTCCATCAGGTTCTTGGACTTTGACCACCTGAGTGATTTTGTTGGCTTTGTTGCTTTGGCTGCGTTTGGAGCAGCGCGGAAAAATTTGGTCAGTGCATGGGTTATTTCAGGACACCGTTGCAGCGACTGAATCAAGTGCAAGCAGGACCCTTGCCATTGCCCTTTGCAACTCTTGATGTCTACTTTGTCTCCTCAAAGGAAAAGAGCCCGAACCCGAATAGTTTGGCACGAGTGCTTGCATGCTCCCCGGTGAGGGGAATGCGTTCCACACCACTTGTCGTCTTTTCGATAATACCTTCCAGAGCGTGGATACTGTGAGTTCGCGCATTTGTTCGTCACAATCCCCCATCTCAATGTTGCTGTTTGGACGGTTGACATTTACTGGCATGAATGGCTGTTGTTCCCTAAACATCATCAGAGGGCATTGAATGTGCCGGTTGGAAATTTACAATTGGAACTGGCCTGCTAAGTTCTTACACTGGCTATTTGTTTTGAAAAACCCGGTTGGTCGAATGCCTCCGAAAACAATCAAACGCCTCCAACGACAAGGACTCGGCACCCTTGCCCAAATGTACAACACACTTCGATTAACTTCCTTGGCTGCAATTGAGCTGAACAGTGTTTGGCATTGCGCGCCACAATCTGATGTGCAGTACCAGTTTCGGCTCGCTGACCGCACGGTCATGAACAGTTGCACCACCTCCGTAGCCTTGGTTTATGCATTTGGTTTCTCCCAACACTTGCCCCGCTGTTGCTCCCGAGTTGCAATAGGACAACTTGTCACACTCCAATACCACTGAGTCCTGCTCAACTTGCAGTGGGCATATGCTGTCATCCGTTGTCAGCATCTCTTTTCCCCACCTCTTCCATCATATTCGCACAAGTTGGGAACGCGGTTTCTTTCGAGTAGCCCATGTTGCTTGCACAAAACCATCCAACAAATATGTGTGTGTTTACTAGTTTTTTTGTTTTCCTTTTTTCTATTAGGAGATCAGGGTGGCGCATGCACTCCGTGGGTTGGGATGACTGCTCCCCACACGGCAGTTGCTGCAGAAAAGTATGATGTTGTGAAAGTCTGTCATGGACAATTGTCTGGCAGGGCTTTGGCGTCCAATTCAATGCCATACGTGGCCATGACACGCGGCTTTGGATTTAGCATGGCCCTGATAGCTGGACATGGCAGCAGGACAAAAAACGAAATCCGGTAATGGCGGCAAAGTTCTGTAAAACCAGGGTCGAACTTGTTGGTATGGTGCTTGATATTGTTGGACCGTATGACTACACATAAAGCATCCCCTATGGGTGTTGAGTTGGGCGTTTTGTCGGCATTTTTTGCATCAATCCACCTGTATAACATCCATACAAATGAACACCCACTCGAACTACAAAACGCTCGCCCAAATGCACAGGCACAATCAGTGGACTGCTATAAAATGCCTTAGGACATACGACGAGGAGTTCCCTACAAAATGACAGACATAAATCATCCAGTATAAAGCTAAAAAGAAACAGGAACGCTTTTGTAATGATTATCAAGTGAAAAACACCGAAAGCACGAGCGCGCTATACAAATGAGTGGCAACACCTTCATAGAAGATCACAATGCCAAAACCACGAAGTTAGACCCCCCAAAATCATCTGTCTATAAAATATTTTTTCTGGAGTACGCCATTCCAGATCCACAACCCCGTCTCCACACCATGTTTTGTATGATGTCAAAACATCCCCGTGCGCAATGCCCCACGGCAGCCACTATAAAATGGGGCCTGAAGCCCACTTTAGTGAAGATCACATGAACTGCATTTTATAGGGCGTCACCCGCGGGGGATCATAAAAGACATAAAGCTCTACTTGAGAGGAGCGAGACACGAAAGGTAGGACAGCGGGAAGAGAAAAGAACGCGAGAGGCAGGAACAAAAAGGCAATGTTCGACATGGTGATTTATCCCCTCAGAGGCGACCTGTCGTAAATATATGTTCATATGCACTCTAAATGTTCAAACATATGCTCTCGAAATGTTCAAAGATTCTGAGGAAAACAAACTTGCCCCATGGCTCAGATCATCGGTGAGCATTGAATCGGAGCATCATAGGATTTGAACTATCCTGAAACCATAAGAGGCTCACGAAGACGTTCCCCAAGAGAGAATTGACGTGCTTCACAAGACAAACTCTACCTTTCGTGATTATGCACTCTTTCTGAATGTTCTAGAGGGTTTCAACTATCCTGAAATCATGAGAGGCTCACGAAGACGTTCTCCAGGAGAGAATTGAATTTAGAGGGGGGGTG